GTAGGTATACCCTCAAGGAAGCTAAGGGTGGTGATTTGAATTGTACCCTCCAGCAAGGCAGGACTCAAGATACATTCCATCTGTCTTGCCCCAACAGAAATAACCTAAGTGGGTGGCTTTAACAATTAGCAGCTCAAGGAAAATCCCATCACAGAGCTGATTGCCAGTCATTACAGGGAATGACTACTACCAGCTGCCAAGCCAAGTTGATACCTGACCTTAACTACCACACCACCCCAAACAGGCATGGATAATAGGATTTACAATACATCACAGAATGTAGGACAATGGCTAGAAGGGCCACATCAAGCAATTCACCGCAGTAGGACACGTTCAATGCTGACCTGGCAGGGCCATGTAAGAGTCTGTATTTGTTTCATTCTTCAGTTCTAATGACGTAATGGTATTTCCTTTGATAGCAGTGATCACATTAACCATCTTGATTATTTTTACCATATCCTCTGCAGACAGATTTTTATTTGATAAAGACTTGTGTTAATGTTTGGTCTTAATCAAAAGAAAGAATGATATCTGGAGCTTATGTGCAACTTAAGTGAGGCTGGATACTAAATAGTAATGAATTAGGTTGTTGTTGTTGTTGTTACGTGCCGTGGAGTTGGATCCGACTCATAGGTAGGAGAACCTAGAAGAGAAACTGGGGACTATGTGGAGAAAAAAGTGAAACATTTGTTTTCAGCCTAAAGAGGAATAGAGCACAATTACAATTTGATGTTACTTCTTCAAAACTGATTACAAATTTCTTATTGACAAGAACTGTGACTTATCCACCTGAACATAGTTGGCTTGTAGCACATTATAGTAGCTGGCATTAAATAGGTGTTTATGAAATATTAAGTGAATTGAATTTCCAACATTTACTGTTGTTTGTCAGACACTTGTTACGGGAATATTTAGGGATGTAAGACAGACCCTCGTGGGACATATATTAAGTGATAAATGAGCTGTACAGATAGTCTTTAAGGAGTAATAAGGAGGGCCTCAGTCAGTGATTCCTGGGACCTGCAGAAGATTTTGGAGGAGCTGGACTGTGAAGCAGGACTTATATAAAGGAGAAGGGAGGGAAGAGCTGGGGACTGTCTTACTTGTTGGGCTGCCTTTGTTATTCACATGAAGGGATAGATATTCTTCTCTAGGGCATTAACATGATTTTCCAAACTTAGGGTGAAATTCAAACATCGTGGTTCCTTTTATTTTTAGCTTATTACAAAAAGAGGCATTTATCTACTAATATAAAACCTGAAGTTACAGTCCTAGTCCTGGAAGAAATAATATTTATCTGTTAGAGCAATAAATGCCAGGTTGGATTTTAAATATTCAGTGATCAGTGGAAACAGCAAGATTTCTTGGCTTAATAGCTAGAAGTGAAATATTTGTTTCTAAAGCATAGACATAGTAGTGGAATTTATCGTTGATGGTATTATTTGTAATATCATGTTTTTAGAGTGAGTTCAATAATATGTTAGAGTGAATGCCCATTGATTTAAAGTGGGCTGTTGTTGTTGTTGTTGTTGTTGTTGTTATGTGCCGTCAAGTTGGACCTGATTCATAGCAACCCCTCCTTGGGTTTCCGAGGCAGTATCACTGCGGAAGTAGATTGCCCCATCTTCCTTCTGAGGAGCTCAGGTGCAGTAAAATAGCTGTGCCCTTTCATTTGTATTATACCTATCAACATTGCTGTTATTTTGAAAATTGTTCTTTGAAGACACTCAGTAAAGAAAAATCAAAATATAAGTGCTTGATTGGACATTTTTATGAACTTGAGTTTTCCTTGTTTCAGATTTAGTGGAGTTTAACTTGGGTAGTCCCAAGAATGTTGGTCCTTTTCTTGCGGTGGACCAGAAGCACAACATCCTTCTCAAATACCGCTGCCATGGTCCACCCATTCGCTTTACGACTGTCTTCAGCAGTGAGCTCCACTATGTGGCAAATGAGCTGAATGGCATTGTGGGAGGTAAGAACACAGTGGTTGCTATAGCCATATGGTCTCACTTCAGCACCTTCCCCTTGGAAGTGTACATCCGGCGGCTCAGGAACATTCGTCGAGCAGTCGTCCAGCTCCTGGATCGAAGCCCTAAGACTGTGGTGGTCATCCGGGCAGCCAACCCCCAAAAGCTGGGGCCTGAGGTGAGCCTTTTCAACAGTGACTGGTACAACTTTCAGCTGGACACCATCCTTCGGAGAATGTTCTCAGGAGTTGGAGTATATCTTGTTGATGCCTGGGAGATGACCCTGGCCCACTATCTACCCCACAAACTGCATCCAGATGAGCTTATTGTGAAGAACCAGTTGGACGTGTTTTTGTCCTTTGTGTGCCCTGTGGAGACCTAGCCTGTCTTAGAAGGGATTGGAGGAATCATGTCTACTGACCTTCCCTATCACTTGCATTACAGGAAGTTTGTGGGTGGCCCCATGGAAAGATTACTGTCATTGATATGAACAAAATTTTAATAAGAGCTGGACTTTATGTAATGACTTGTAAGGAGCTTAGAAATTGCAGGCTACATTTATATATACCTATAGGATTATTTCCTATCTTGACTTAGCCATGGAGAACCATTATTCACAACATCTACACACTATATTGTCCTTGTAACCAAAGATGCTAATGCGTGTATTTGAACTAGCTTCTCTTGGGAGGGGAGATGAGTGTCCCCAAAAATATGAAAAATGTTATGCCCTAAACGGAAGGGACAATTTTAGTTGGCAATAGAGGGTTTGTAGCTTATCTAGTAAAGGAAATGGAGCACATTTGCATGAATAGCACAAGTGGCATGTCTTCAGCGGGCGGACTAGAGAGGGCTTCTAGTCAGTGGATTCTGTGGGCACACTGAAGACTGCCTTGTCTCAGGAGTTTCCTCAGTAGTCTTCCTTTTCTGAATTGCTTGAAAAAGACAGTGTGCTTGCTCAGAATTTTATAGTGGGGATATTTACTATTTCCTGCCCTTTTCTAGAATAGAAACAAAAGAGAGAAATATGAAGCCGTATACATAAAATCTGTGCTTTGAATTGATATTTGCCTGGATGAATGTTTCTTATTTGATTGAGCTAAATTTTACTTAATGAGTACTTATTCTAAGATAACCACTTTTGGAATTGGAAGGGGGAAATCTATAAACTGAAATTTATTTTTGTGTTCTGAAATGTTAAGGTCATGAGAATTGACTTTCATGTAAAGAATGCTATTGATTGTTATAAAGTAGTGGAAGCTGTTTCCACCAATTTCAAGTATGTCTTGTTTTGTTTTTATCTTAAACTGCATACCAAAACTAGACATTAAGATCTAATTAGAAATGAAAGTTAGATATTGAAATCTATTACAACTGTTTCTTGATTTAGACATAAGACACACGTTCTCGTGCTTAGAAATAAAAACTGCTATTCCTGCTGGTTCCAACCAAACCCACTGCCATCAAGTTGATTCATCTCATAGCGACCCTTTTAAGACAGAGTAGAGGGTTTCCAAGGCAGCAAGTCTTTATGAAAGCAGACTGCATCATCTTTCTTCCACAGAGTACCTTGTGGGTTCAAACTGGTGACCTTCTGGTTAGCAGCCAAGTGCTCTAACCATTATGCCACCAGAGTTCCTATTCATACTGTTGTTGTCAGGTACTGTTGAGTTAGCTCCAACTCATAGTGACCTTATGTACAAAAGAGTTGGTATTATCAATTTAATTTGACTGTCTTTATCTTGGGAGCTCTGGTGGTGTAGTGCCTAAGGCATTTGACTGCTAATCAGAAGGCTGGCAGTTCAAACCCATCAGCCACTCCTCGGAAGGAAGACTGAACAATCTACTTCTGTAGAGATACCGCCTCTGAAACCCAAAGAAGGGTTGCTATGAGTCGGAATTGACTCGATGGCAGTGAGGTTGTTGTTTTTTTTTTTTTTTTGTCTTCATCTTACTACTTTTAAATGAGTTTAAGTAAACTTGGGATCATTTATTCACTCTTTTTTTTTT